AAGTCGTGCGAAAAGCCCCAGGCCGTCTGCGGGGACACGCGACACATCTTCCAAGGAATCCGGTACTGGGGTCCGCGCCTTTGAATGTTCAATTATTCGGGGCCCAGGACGGGGCCCAGATCGGACGGGGCCAGGACGAGGATACGTCCGTTCCAGAGCGTTCAGAACGCTCTGAGAGCGTTCCGGAACGCTCTGAGAAGGCCGCGGCGCCCGAGGCATCCTCCAGAGCCGCTGGACCTCAGGGATTCTTTCGATTTATCCTCACACGATTTTGTTCTCGTCCTGGCTCCGTCTCACCCAGGGTCCGATTGTCGGACTTTGTGGGGTGTGGCGCGTGCTCCCGCAGACCTTGGAGCTGGTCGCGTGACCTCTCCCGAGGTCAGGAGGCCCCGAGGGGGCCCAAGAGGGCTCCAGGTGTCGAGTAGGGGATCGACTGCATCGTAGATTACCCCAAAATTGATTTTCCCGTCGGATCTACAAAACAGATCCGCAGACTGTTCGTAGGTTAGCGAATATTCTACGTATTTTCGTATATTCGGCGAGACAGTCAATTTTGGGGTACATCGTAGTCGATCCCCTACTCGAAGGATGTCCCCCATCAATTCCAAGAGTGCCCCGAAACGGCCCAGGAGCGCCCCGAGACGCCTCAAGTTGGTCTCCAGATGGCCCAATAGGCTCCCAAGACGCCTCAAGAGGGCCTCAAGAGGGCCCCAAGAGGGCCTCCAGGGGACCTCTAGAAGCCAAATTCGCTGACGTATGACTTTTGAAGGATTTCAGTGTTCTCGCCATTTCGGGTTTCTACGTCTTCGTGACGACACAAGAGGCCCCACGACCGCCCCAAGACGGCTCAGAGGACGCCCCAAGACGGCCCAAGAGCCCGCCACGACGTGCCCAATAGGCCCCCCAAGAAGGCCCCCCGAGGCGCCCGCAAGAGGCCCACGAGGCCTCCAGGAGGCCTCCAAGAGGCCCCCAAGGCGACCCCAAGGATCCCTCAAGAGGCCCCCAAGAGCCGTTCAAGAGGCCTCCGAGAGGCATCCCAAGAGACCCTTGGTGTCATGGGCCTCAGGCCGCTTGTAGACAAAATTATTCAGATCAGGACACTCCAACTCGTGCCTCGAGGCGCAGATGCGGATGTCGCAAGACACATAACTGACAAAACGGCAAGGGCCAGTCGCACACACACACACACACCGCCGGATGATCACACTTGCGTGCACCATGGGGATCCTTACGTGGACCCGGGTCGGACCTGGCTCTGTGGGTACCCTGGCCAGTTGCTCCTTCAGTGCGCTGGAGCTGGGCTTCGGCTCAAACGGGGCCCGCCAGCACGCAGGGCGCTGCGTGCCCCTTCTCTGGCCGACCCCAGTTCGGGTGGCCCCGCCCGGCCACGCCGCGCCATCTCGTCGGGACCGGCCCCGGCTCAGATGCGGCACCTGCGCCGAGAGAGCAGAGGCGGCCAACCGGGGTGAGCATTTCGTTCTTTTCTGCATGCCGCTGATCTGTTCCCACCCATCTGGGCCCAACGGATCGATGCGCTCGAGCGTCAGAATCAGCCCCCCGCTCGGCCCCCCCGACTTCTCCTGGGGTGCGGCCTGGCCAGAATTTCCAGGCGGATCCAGCCGTGGCGATCACGAGCATCTGAAAGGCCCAAGAAGGGTGAAAGACATGACATGAATCCCACCAGCCCTCTGGGCGTAGGTGGTCTAGGGTGTTTCCTCTTCCACCCTCATCTTCCCTTTCGGGGAGGCGTTTACTCCTCCCCCTACCCCCTCCCCTGGACCTGGACGGGGCGTTCCGCGAGCGGTCGGAGCGTCCAAGACGGCCCACGTTGGCTCCAAGAGGGCCTCAGAGAGCCCAAGATGGCTTCGAAGATGGCTCAAGATAGCGCAAGATGCCTCGAGATGGCCCCAAGATGCCCCAAGAAGCCCCAAGACCGCTTCAAGACGGCTCCAAGTGGCCAAACGAGCTCCCCAAGGAGGCCCCGAGGAAATTTTAACCCTTCAAGAACTCAGTGCAAATCAATGCTTTTGGGTTTCCTGCCTTTTCGCTTCCGATGGCCTTCGGAGGCTTCAAGATGACTCCAACATAGCCCAAGAGGGCCCCATGAGGGGCCCAAGAGAGCCCCAAGACGACCCCAGGAGCGCCCAAGGGCGCTCCATGAGCGCCCCAAGAGCGCTCCAAGAGGCGACTTTAGGGGCTCCCGAAGGGCAAGGTTAATTAGGGCCCCCCCCTTGTTTGATCGATGTCATTCAACTTCCCACCAGCCCTCTGGGCGTAGGTGGTTTAGGGAGTTTCCTCTTCCAGCTCCCTTCTACCCCTTCGGGGAGGGGTTTCCCCCCCCCCCCCCCACCCCCTCCCCTGGACCTGGACGGGGGTGGTCGCGGGGGGTTGGCGCGTCTAAGATGGCCCAAGATGGCTCGAAGAGGGCCTCGGAGAGGCCAAGATGACCTCCAAGATGACTCAAGACAGCGCAAGATGCGCCAAGATGGCTCTCAAGATGCTCCAAGGGGCCCCAATATTGCCCCAAGACGGCTCCACAAGGCCTCCGAGACTCCCAATGAGGCTTCCAAGAAGCCAACATCTTTCAACAACCCGAGGAAAATCAACGACTTATGCCTTCTCGTCTTCTTGCTTCCGATGGCCATCCGAGGCCTCAAGATGGCTCCAAGATGCCTTAAGAGGGCCCCAAGAGGGGCCCCAGAGAGGCCCAGGCCGCCCCAAGAGCGCCCAAGAGCGCTCCAAGAGCGCCCCAAGAGGGGTTCTTTACGTGATGCTTGGCGTTGTGGAAGGGCAGCGCTAATTAAGGACCTCCCCTTCTTGGATCGATCTCCTCCACGATGGCCCCAAGAACGCCCCTAAAGCTCCCAAGAGCGCCGCAAGAGGGCCCCGAGAGGCGCCCAGACGGCCCCAAGAGGCACCCAAGACGCCTTCCAACAGGCTCCCAAGAGACCCCCAAGAGCCTCAAGAGGATCCCCGATGCACCCAAGATGCCCCCCAGACGCTCCAAGAGGCTTCCAAAACAACTCCCAAGAGACACCTTAGGAGGTTATTTGGTTCGTCGTGTTTTTTTTGTCCTCCTCATCCTTCTCCTCATCCTTCTCCTCCTTCTCCTTCTCCTCTTCCTTGGCCGCCTCCTCCTCCTCCTTTCCCTCTTCTTCTGCAGCCTCCTCCTCCTCCTTTCCTCTCCACTCCCTCCCCCACATCCTCTTCCCCCTCCTCCTCCTTCTCCTCCTCCTTGTCCACTTCCTTCTCCTCCTCCGCCCCCCCCTTCGCGGCGAAAGCAGCGACGACAGAGTCGACGACGACGAAGACGAAGACGACGATGACGACGGCGGCAGCGGCGGCGGGAAAGAGGGGCGGAAGTCGGAGCAGCAGCAGCACCACCACTAGCAGTACCAGCAGCACCAACAGCACCAACAGCAGCACCCGCACCATTCGCTACCAGAGATCTCCCAATTCACCGTTGTTGCCCACGCTGCTTCACTATGCGCGTCACTTCATCCCTTCTCCCGTCAGCTCTCCTGGACATTGTTTCTGGATGGGCTGGTGGGGATACTTTGTGGTCAACAGGCTCGCGAGGCGGGTCGAAAGCCGTCCGAGCACTAGTCGGGCCGCGACTTGGCAGCAGGAAGAGAAAGGCAAGCGAAGCGAGCGAGCGGGCAGCCACTCAGAAGGAGAGCCAGAACCGATACTCCCAAACCCGGTGGCGGTGGCTGGTGGGGAGATTTCTTGGTCAACAGGCTCGCGAGGCGGGTCGAAATCCGTCCGAGCACTAGTCGGGCCGCGACTAGGCAACAGGAAGAGAAAGGCAAGCGAAGCGAGCGAGCGGGCAGCCACTCAGAAGGAGAGCCGGAACCGATACTCCCAAACCCGGTGGCGTTGGAAATCCCGGTGGCGACCAGCAGGTAAGCGCAGCCAAGATGGCGCGGCGGCGCGACCATAAACACGCAGAGGTCGATCGTTCGGTGTGAGTCAGGCAAACAGCATCCAAAGCTGGTGGGGATACTGTTTTGTCGCAACCGCAGGCGAGGGCGCCAGCGGCGAGTAAGGTCCGACCGGGCCGCGCAAGAGCCTAATTGCCTAACGCCGACGGGCCGGCGACATCAGCAGCGCCTCGGCGGGCGGGCCGGCGTGCGGGGGGGTGCGGGCTGCAGCTGCCAGGGACCAGGTCCAGGAGCGCGCACATGCACGATTAACCAACCAGGGTTGGAGCGCAGCCAACATGGCGCGGGGTTGGTACCAGGATGTGGCCAGGAAGGCAACCAACAGTGCACTGCTTCAGCTGCCGGGAGATCATACTGGCCTGGTGGGGATACTTTTTTGGGGGGTCAGCGGCCACCAGACAAGGGTCAGGCGGCAAAGGCAACGTCCGGGCCACGAACGAGGCTAATTAGCTACAACAGGCACAGGCAGGCCGGCCCGCTCACAAAACAGCCGCGAAGCTGCTGGTGGGGAGACGCGAGCCGTCAAGAATTTCTATGCGGATCCAGCCATGGCGACTACGAGCATGTGAAAGGCCCAAGAAGGATGAAACACATACCAACAATGATCGATCCCCTTTTTTTCCCCCCTCCTCCACAACTCCGCTCGGAACGGTCTCCTTCGGCGCGGTTTTTAGTCCTGGGCCGACCTCCGACGGCCCCCGGGGACCCGCAGTGCGCCCTCCCTGCTCCCCGCCCCTCGGAGGCCGAGCTCGGGGATGAGGACCTCTGCCGCGATTTTGCTGTTGCCTCGTCCCTCGAGCTTCCTGCTTCTCTGGTAGCAATTCATGGGGGCCTTGCATGTCCTCCTGACTCCAGCTTCAGAGTGCAGGCGTGTGCGCCAGCGTCTGGCAGTCGATGAGGAAGCGCCACTTCAGCGTCGATGAGCGTCGATTTGGCGCCGATGAGCGCCGATTCGCGTCGATGAGCGTCGGTCAGCGTCGATTCGCCAGAGCCAGCAAATGGCATGGAAGATCCCAGGAGTTGCCACCGAACGCTTCCCCCCCCCAGCCCGTGCAGGCTCGGCGCGAGCCTCGAGCTGCGCGCCGCCCTGGGGAGGCTGCTCGCGCACGCAGCCGCGCACGACGCCCGGCGGGCGATGCTCGCGGCGCTGCGGTGGTGGAGTTGGCAGATCGCCTGGACCTTCGCGGCCTCCCCCAGTATCGTTTTACGGATCCCCATTCCCATCCCCATCCCGAGCCCCAGCACCCACCCCCCGAGCGTTCCAGAACGCACTCAAAGCGTTCTGGAATGCTCTGAGCAGGCCGCTGCGCCCGAGAGACATCCTCCTGAGCCGCCAGATCTCAGAGATTCGATTTTTCCTCACCCGATTTTATCCTCGTCCTGGCTTCGTCTTACAAGATCGACGCCGACGTTTCGGCGTTCAGTCTCGGTCATGTTCCTTGTTTTCTTTCCCATCCCCCCTCGAGCCTCGCATCGGAGGAGGGCCAGTTACACAGATCCACCTCGTTCCTCCCCTCCCTCCCCTCTGGGAGGGGAGAGAACGCTATCGTACGAGGAGGGCGGAGAGACGGTGACGGGGGTGCATCTCTCTCTTTCTCTCTCTCTCTCTCTCTATATATACATATGCTCGCTCCGACCGAGCCTCGATCCTCGAATCTGGCTCCTCGAACCTCGATCCTCGCACCCTCGCTGCCTCGCCGCCGCAGCCAACGACGAGTGTCGGCGGTTACGTCGGCGTCGGCGTTAGCGTAGACTCTCCCCGCCTCTCTAAATAGCTCGGCCCTCGGTCCTCGACCATGGAGGGGGAGTCGTCGTCTTCGTCGTCTTCGTCGTCGTCTTCGTCGTCGGCTTCATTGTCGTCGTCGTCGTCTTCGTCGTCGTCTTCGTCGTCGTCGTCTTCGTCATATTCGGCTCCGTCTTTGCATTCATGTCCTTGCTCGGGCCTTGGGAGGTGTTCTTTCCTGGGCTTCAGGTTCCCCAGAAGCCTCAGAGGACTTGCTCATCCGCTTGTCACTCCCTCGTTCTCTTGATCTCTTCCTGTCCTTCCCCCTTCGCATCTCCTCCTCCTCCTCCCATTCTTCCCCTCTTCCTGTCGTCTCCCCGTCTTCTCCTTCGGGGAACAGCAGATGCCATCGTCATGAGCTTTCGGATGTCCGCGCGGGCCTCCGAACGCTTCTGTTCGTGCCATTGCCTGCTCCTCCGACGAAGGCATCTATACACCACCACCGTGCCAGGCCAGGGCCATCCTGGGCCCCAGGATGGTGTATAGACCCTCCCGGCTCGGCCAGGAGGGCGTATACGCCATCCCCGGGCCCAGGATGGCCCTGGCCCGGCACGGTGGCGGTGTATAGATGCCTTCTGCGTATGCTCCTCCATCTGCGCACGAAGACTCACACGGCCCGAGCGTGGCTCTCTCTCTCTCTCTCTCTCTCTCTCTCTCTCTCTCCCTCGCGGCCTCTCTCTGTAGCCTCCCGCCCCGCGCGGCACCCCCTCCTCCCCGTGTCAAGCCTCTTGCTCCGGCGGCGCCCCGCCGCTGCTCGACCGCCGCATTGACTCTCTCGCGGCCGCTGGCCTCCTTCCTGCTCCCTCCTCCTCCCTCCTCCTCCTCCTCCTCCCTCCTCCCTCCTCCTCCTCCTCCTCCCTCCTCCTCCCTCCTCCCTCCTCCTCCTCCTCCTCCTCCTCCTCCTCCTCCTCCTCCTCCTCCTCCTCCTCCTCCTCCTCCTCCTCCTCCTCCTCGGGGTCGTCGTCTCGCCTCCGCTGGCCCCCCCTGCCCCTGTCGGGGCCGCACGGGGCGCGCTCTGCGGAGCTCCCGCCCCCCCGCGCGCCTGGAGCGCCCGCCCGCGCCTCGCCTCCCGCGGCGGCGGGGTCCGCTCCCTGGAGGCCCCCAGGGGGGGGCTTCCCCTGGGGCGCCGCGTGATCGGGGGGGCGATCTACACTTAGGCGATGCTTAAGAAAACCCAAGTTTTCGTCCAGAGTCTCGATTATTCTTAATTTTTGAATGTAAATCCCAAGATTTTGATAGAAGTTCTGGGTTTTAGTCAAGTTCTGAGACGATGAATTTCTTAACCCATGATTTCTTAAGCATTTCGCAGGGTGTACCAGAGGAGGCAAGAGGTACGCCGCTACCACCCCTTCCTGTAGGCCTCCCTGGAGGCCCTCGCCGACACGGCTGGATTCGCCTCGCAGTTTTGGTCAGAACGCACCGGGGGAGGGGTCCAGGGAGCAGTGGTAACGGTACATTTTTGGGGTTTCCCCATTGAGTGGAGGGCGGTGAAGAATGATGTGTCCTAAAGTGGGCCTCCGAGGGGCCCCTCTAGGGCCCAAAGTGGGCACGAGAGGTGCACGTTTCTTCGCCCACACAGGTATCTCCCCCAAGTGGGTGCAAGAGCTGCAGCATCGTCAGAAGAAATCATAGAGGATGCTCTGCGGCGAGCCCAGAAGGGACGTCAGAGGGGGCGGGCCTTTTCAGAAGGCTCGGGGTGCCTCTGGCCTTCCGGAGACATGTTCTAGGCCTTGTCCGAAGACACTGGCGGTTTCTCGGAAGGCGCGAGCGAGAGCTTCTGAGAAGCCCCTCGCCGCCTTGCCAGAAGGCCGGCCCCCTCTCACTCCCCGCCTGGCCTCACCGTCGAGCAGCGCCGTGAGACATCACGGGGGATTGGTGGGAATCTGAAAAAGCGGTTGCGATCGGTCCGATCACCGACGGCCGATCATGAGATCAATTAAACAAATTTACTTGAGCTCGAACGTGGCCATGATCCGTATCCGGTTTCTATGTGATTCGTATACGATTGAAGCCGAAAAAGAGCAACAATGCCTGGTGTGAAACGGATTGCACCTCAGGAGGGGGGGAGGAGAAGGAGGAGGAGGAGGAGGAAGAGGACGAAGAGGAGGAGGAGGAGGAGGAGGAGGAGGAGGAAGAGGCGGAGGAGGAGGAGGAAGGAGGGAGGAGACGGAGGAAGGGCAGGAGCAGGAGGAGCAGGAGCAGGATTGAGGAGGAGGAGGAGGAGGAGGAGGAGGAGGAGGAGGGGGAGGAAAAGGAGGAGGACTTAGGACAGGATGGCAAGGCGGACAGAGGTGGCGGCCGAGACCCCCAACATCATGACTATTCCGGAACGTCGACCCCCACAGGTCTGGACGAGTGACCCTACGGTAGGTTTGCGCGGCGTCGGCATTCGCAAGGCCTTTGGCACCGCGTCGATCGTTCAACCTTGAATCGATCGCGGCCCCGATCGTTCAAGGTTGAATTTCGTCGGGTGCAGTGGCCCCACCGTTTCCCTCGGCGCTTCCGCGTCGCAGAATGCAACCTTGAACGCCTTTGCCAACGCCGCCGGCGTGCCAACGCCGCATGAACATACAGTAGACCAACATTGCATACTTAGTCACTTTTGGACGGCCCCTGGGCCTGGGAGCCACAGGACCTGTGGGACCTGTGGGGCCTGCGGGGCAGGCGGGAACGGTGGGATCCTTGGGACTTGTGCAATCTGTGGGAACTGTGGACTTGTGCGACCTGTGGAACGCGCGGGGCCTTGGAAAGCTTTGGAGTCTTTTGCTACCACGATTAGAACCCTCTAGCGCAAAGCAACCAGGAACACAAACATCTCAGGATGCAAATACTTCTCAGACCGAAGTAGTTCCTGAACAGTCCGAAGTGGTCGTGATCGGTCTTATTCCCGGGCCGCGAGCCTCTGAAAGGCTTCAGAAAAGCCTCTGAAAGGCTTCAGAGAAGCCTTTGAAAAAGGCTGCAGAGAAGCCTCTGAAAGGCTTCAGAGAAGCCTCTGAAAGGCCTCGCTGAGGCGTCTCAGAAGCCTCGCTAAGGCCTCTCAGAGGCCTCGCTGAAAGCTCTGCAGAAGCTCAGCAGAACCTCTTGGATCGGTCGCAGTCCGGTGTTCTCCAGAAAGGTTGTTCGTGTCATCCTCGAGGTTGCGATCAGCCCGTTCCCAACGGTTGCAGTCCGACCGAAGTAGTTCCTGAACAGCCCGAAGTGGTTGTGATCGGTCGTATTCAGGAGGAGAAAAAACACACAGACACAATTAATCGGCGATTCCCCAGAAAATATGGGAAAATATGGGAAGTGGGGGGAAGACAGAAACCCAGAAAATATGGGAAAATATGGGGAATATTTTTATTTGTGTGTATTTATTTGTGTGTTTGTGGGCCCCTTCACGTATTCCCGGGCCCACCCCACGAAGCCGGCGGGCCGCCTCAGCCCCCCCGGGGCCTCCCGCGCCCGCGAGGACGGGCGCCAACCTGGAGGCGTGCTTGCGGCTGGTGTGGGAGCGCCGGCAGGCCCCCTTCCGAGGAGAGGAGGTCGAAGCCGCCGCCGCCGCCGTCGTCGTCTTCGTCCTCCTCCTCCTCGCTCCGTCTCTATCCTCTATCTGCCTCCTTTTTTTTCCTTCCTCGTTCTCCCTCCACTTCCTCCTCCCTCCTCCCTCCTCCCTCCTCCCTCCTCCCTCCTCCCTCCTCCTCCTCCTCCTCCTCCTCCTCCTCCTCCTCCTCCTCCTCCTCCTCCTCCTCCTCCTCCTCCTCCTCCTCCTCCCCCTCTTCCTCCTCCTCCTCCTCCTCCTCCTCCTCCTCTTCCCCTGCTGGGTACCGTATCCTGGTGCTCGGCCCTACGCCGAGGGGACATTGACGATGCCATGTGCGCTTCACGGCTTGGCGTCAGCATGCTGGCTCGTCTTCGTTGGGTCCCGCCCCGCACCACCTTCCCCGGGGCCGTGGCACTCAGCTACGCCCGTGGCGCTGGAGCCACCTTGAGCTGTCAGGCGCGGGGATCATGCAATTGGTGAAGTGGCGAGGCCGTGTGGTCCGTAAGTCCCATGGAGCCTTCGTGCCTACTCCCCCTGGGGTACCAGCCCAGTTGCACATGCCATATATTTTGTCAGGGGTTGATAGTCGGGAAGGACTTCAGAATGAGGAGGTGAACGGATCGTCTTTTTACGCACCACCGTCATTACGTATCAGTAGCGAGTCACGGGGCGAAAAGGCGCTGACCTGTACCACGACCGTGTTGCGTGAGTTAGTTCGTGGCCGATGAGCGAGCGGCCTCCCCTGCACATGAGGAGGAAGGTCTCCCCGTGGGGGGGGTGGAGGGCGGCCCGTTGTGCGATGAGGCAGCATTCTCGTGTGAGGCAGTCATCTCGCGCGGGTTCGCTTCTCTGTTCTCCATGGTTCCACGATTCCTCCGCCTCCTCCTCCTCTTCCTCCTCTTCTCTTTGTCCTCCTCCTCCTCTTCTTCTTCTTCCTCTTCCTCTCCCCCTCTTCCTCCTCCTCCTCCTCCTCTTCCCGAATCGTGTCTTCATCCCCCCAATCAGAGGGGGGTTGCCAGACGGCCTTGCTTCGTCCAGGTGCGCGCGTTGGGGTGGCGAGCGTCCCTCGTCCGGGACCACGCGAGGGGCCACGTTGTGGGACCATGCGGGGGGGCCATGCGGGGGGCCCATACGGAGGTTCATCTGGGGGCCACATTGTTGAACCGTGGTGGGAAACCATGCTGGGGAGCATATGGGCGGACCATGCGAGCGGACCATACCCGGAGACCATATGAGGGGACCGCGCGGGGGCTACGCGGGGACCACACGAGGGGACCATGCTCACGCGGGGGGACCATGCGGCGGGACCACTCGGGGGCACCTTTCGGCGGGCTGCATCTTAGTTGACTTCGAGCGTCGCAAACTGCCGACGACATCCCCCGCCCCTTCACTCGCATCCGCGACTGCGTGGGCTATGTATTTCTCCTCCTCCTTTTCCTCCCCCCTGCTCCTCCTCCTCCGCCTCTTCCCTGCCCCTTCTCACCTTTTTTTTTCTCTCCTCCTTTTAATCCTCCTCCTCCTACCCCTCCTTCGCTATCTGATATTTTTCCTCTGTATCCTGCTCTTTCTCAGCATCCTCCTTGTTCTCCTCTCTTCTTTTTGCGTTTTTCTCGCCTTCTCATTTTTCTTCCTTTTTCTTCCAATTATTGTTATCCTCCTTCTTCTCCTTGTTTTTCCCACATTCCTAGTCGTGCTTGCACTTCGGGGTTCCTGCTTCTGATCTGATGAGCTGGGCCTGGGTTGCGGCTTGGTGGCTCTGTGCTCGCCGTCGCCGCCCCGTCGCCGCCTCGTCGTCACCCGTCGTCTGGGCCTGGATGGCCGTCTGGCGGCTCCGTGCTCGCCGTCGCCGCCCCGTCTCTGCCTCGTCGTCACCCGTCGTCTGGGCCTGGGTGGCGGTCTGGCGGCTCCGCGCTCGCTGCCGCCGCCCCGCCGCTGCCCCGTCGCCCCGCCGCCGCCCAGAATGTACTGCAGCGGTTCTCGTCTCTTCTGGGAAGTTGGATGTTGCCCCCCCACCACCCCCGCGTGGCTATCACCTCGGCCTCGCGTGTTGCAGTGTACATATGATCCTGCCTCCTTGCTCATCTCCTTCGTGAGCTCATACCATCCCAGCCGAGCCAGTATTCCGCCCCCTGCCATCCTCGCGCGCACTCGTTCATCGAAGCTCACCAGTTTTCAGGATCCCTTGGCAACGGAGAAAGGACGCGCGCATGCCGACATCCGTCCAAAAACGTCGGTATCATAGGTTTTCAAAATCGAGTGTCCCAAAAACATACAAACACACGGTTTCGCAACGCGGGTTTTCAACACATTTTCGCGCGCGTTCTTGAGAATTGCGAAAATAACCATCGTTTTGTTTTTGTTTGTTTGAATTTTTACTTTCTAACATGCTTCCACATGAGTTTCGCGCGCATGTCGAAATCGTTGGAGCGCCCTTGCGCGCTTGCTGTCGCGAGAATCGATTTTGCAAGAATGGGACGAAGTGTGCGCGCGCGTCGTCACGCACGCATGCCGGTTCGGTAGCGACTCAGAACGGACGGTCCAAACACACATATACAAACACATGGTTTCGCAACGTCAGATTTCAAAGAAGAGTGCGCTCGCGCTCTTGCGATCTCTTGAGAAAGCCATAGGTTGTTCAACATTTGTATTGAATTCTGCTGAACTGCGCGCGTGTTGAGGGGGCACGATCCGTGTCAAATAATTCAATGCCTGCCACTTGCGCGTCGGCCGCGCGCGCGTGTCGAATTCTTTCCAATACATTCACCACAGACGCGAGGACGCCGTCATCGTCGTCGGCGCGATCAGCATTTGCGCCGTCACTGGCCGCGCCGTAGTCGTTGCCAACATCATCACCAGCATTGCTACTATTATCATCGCGTCTACCGTTGTCGACGTTGCCGTCGCGCCCGCCCAAGTTGCCGACTCGCATTGAAGTGCAAGTGCCCGTTGGGATGTGCCTAGCGGTCAGCACCACCGCGGCCGCGTCTGTCGCGCCAAACGAGCTGGCCGCTGCGCGCGTGTGCTTGGGTTGGCGCGGCTTCAGAGATGCACCAGCCAAAGCCAAGCAATCATCGCAATTGCCGCCACATGGGTTTTGCAAACCAAGTTGCGGGTGGGTGGGTGGGATGTTTGCAAGAGCGTCGGGTGTGTCAACTCGTTTGTAATACTCAATTGTACCGCGTAGATTTTATGACATAGCTTGCACACACGTTTCACCACGCCGACTGCACCATGCATGTGTGTATTTGTAGTTGTATACATGTTTATTTGTATATGTTTATTTTGTATATAGATGTATTATACATACATCTAGATATGTACAACATCTTTTGCACGACATACGTTGCGCCACGTAGGTAGGGTACACCACAACGATTGGTCCGCAAACGTTGCACAACATTGATATCACAGCATGCATGACACCACATCGACTGTATTACGTCGATTGCACCGCATACGTTGCACGGCATGTGCTGATAGTAACACATTGTTTTGGGTCCACGCTGGGTACTTTCGATTTGGGTATTCGAGTGACTTACCCCATCCCGCCGACCCCCACAACAGGACAAACGTCCACGGGTGAACGGTTTTGGCGTTCGCGGAAGACCTGGCCCCCAAGAGGGTTCCACAGCGAATGGTCCGCGTGGGCCGTCTTGGGGTTCTCTTTGGGAGTCTTACGGTCTCTATGGAGCGATCCTCGCGGCGTCTTGAGAGAGGTGTCGGGCGAAGTGTGGGCGAACAAGGCGAATAGTCTGACATTGATTATCCTACAGGATCACGACTGTTTTGGCTCATCGGGCCTTCTCGGGGGTCCCATGGATCGTTTGAGGCGTATTCGACGCGCCCAGGGCCACTTCCAGGTTCTCGGCATGTTGGAGCCGATTTTGAATCATTTTTATTTGCGTACTGGACAGTGGAGGGACAGTATTGAAGGCGAGGTCGAGGTTGGTGTCTCCGAGTGTGTACGACGCTCGGGCGAAAGCCACATTTTGTAAATGGCCCGTCCGCCATCTGTGAAATTTAGGCAAACTTTTAAGACGAACGTGCGCGGCGTTCTGGCGAGAGCCACGTATTGAAAATGGGCCCGCCCTCCATCAGTGAAACGGTTGCAAACTTGAAGGCGAATATGCGCGGCGCTCAGGCAAGAACCACAGTTTGAAAACGACCCGCCGTCATCTTTGGAACTGTTGCAAATCCCAAGCTTCATAATCATACATGGCGAGGAAGTCTTAGGCGAAACGCCCAGCCCGCCCTACCGCCACGTCCGGGGCGCGACAGGGAGGACCTATCAAGGCGGAGAAGGAGGAAGAAGACGAGGGGAATAACGTTTCAATGTGATGATGTGAGGAGTAGGAGGAGGAAGAGGAGAAGGAGGAGGGGGGGGAGGAGGAGGGGGAGGGAGAGGAGCAGGGGGATGGGGGGGGAATGGGGGAGCGTGCCCCTCCCTGGAGGCCAAGGAGCAGCGCGAGGCCCTGCGCCGCCGTTCCGCGGGCATGGGCGAGCAGGAACGCGCCGTGGCTGCGGCGGCCTTCGCGTCCTGGTGCCTGGGGAAAAGGGGGGTGGGGACAGACGGGGGCCAGAGGGGGGCCAGAGGTGGGGACGGGATGCAGAAGGGGGCCAGAGGGGGCCAGGGGGGGAAGGGGGGGGAGAGGGGGAAAGAGGCGGGGATGGGGGAAGAGGCAGGAGTGCAGGGCTGCCCCGCAGTGGCAGCCAGCCCAGGCCTGGGGGGCTCCAGACCGGGGGGGGTCCGGATCGGGGGGGGTCCGGACCGGGGAGGGTCTGGACCGGGGGGGTCCGGACCGGGAGGGGGTCCGGACCGGGATGGGTCCGGACCAGAGGGGTTCCGGACCGGGGGTCCAGACCGGGGGGTACGGACCGGGGGGGATCCAGACCGGGGGGGGTCTGGACCGGGGGTGTCCGGGCCGGGGGGGTCCGGATCTGGGGGGTCCAGGCGCTGTCGTGGGCCATACTCTTGGGTCCAACGACGAGGTCTTGGGTCCTGAGGGTTCTGGGCCGGAGGTTTTGGGGTGGTTGGGGCACGGGGGGTCGTCGTCCTGCGGTCTTGTTCGGGCTGGGTTGGGACGTCCGGTTCGGTTCTCGTCGGTTCGGTTCGGGGGCCGCCCTGTTCCAGTTCGGTTCCGGTTCTTGTTCGGTTCGGTTCCCCCTGGTTCGGTTCTGAATCTACCGACGAAGGCATCTATACACCACCACCGTTCCAGGCCAGGGCCATCCTGGGTTCCAGGATGGTACGGTTATCTGTCCGACGAAGGCATCTATACACCACCACCGTGCCAGGCCAGGGCCATCCTGGGTTCCAGGATGGTGTATAGACCCTCCTGGCTCGGCCAGGAGGGCGTATACACCATCCTAGGGCCCAGGATGGCCCTGGCCTGGCACGGTGGTGGTGAATAGATGTTTTCTGCGTAATATGTTCTCGGTTCGGTTTGGTCCCTTCATGAATCTTCTCCTTTCCTTAGCGTTTGCGTTCGGGCGACTTTGACGCACTCATGCTCGGGTCTCCGTCTCCTCCTCCTCCTCCGCCTCCTCCTCCGCCTCCCTGTCTCATTTTCGTCGCACCATCCCCCGCTGGCTGTCGAGGAATGGGCTGAGGAAGTGGAGGTAGCGCCGTTAAACTCGGCTTCAGGCATGAACCTTTGAGACCAATCGCCCCCTCTTCCCTTGGTTTCAGGTGTTCTTTGCGCGGAGCCGGGGCAGCCCTGAGCATCCTTGACGCTTTAAACATAACCGCG